CGAAACGCAGAAAATGATTAATTCTAAAAGCCTGCCTCGTGTTAAAAAAAAAAAGCTGGTGATATTACCTGATAATTGTCGGGATAATGGCGAAACCAGGAACAAAGAGTTCACATTATAGAAATTGAAGCTTGTCTTCAGATTATTTGTTTACCCAGCATTGCGCTCATATGCTTTGGAGAACGTCCAAATATACACTGAGAAAGAGCTGCTAGGATAATGGGAAAGGTCTGTTCTGCTCACCACACCGGATTGGCTGGTCTCCCTGTCAATTCTTAGTTAAAAGGGTGGTAAAGGCTGAAGGTTTATTACCACCATACAATCTGTGTACTGTTGCCCCCCACAGACCCCCTAATACTCACTTGAGCCCCCTCTCAATCCAGTTATGTGCACAGGAGCCTCGGCTGTCATGAGTCTCTCTCCCCATTGGCTGAGACAGCAGCGGGAGCCATCATTCTATGCCTGAAGGTAAAAAACCTTTTCAATTCAGCATCCCCCCAGCCTCCCCTAATACTCACCTAAGTCCCCGCTCAATCCAGCTATGTGTACAGGAGCCTAGGCTGTCCCGGGTCTCTCTCTCCTCATTAGCTGAGACAGCAGCGCCTGCTGGCTAGCACTGTCAATGAGGAGAGAGTGTGTGGGGGGGAGGGGAGCGCATAGACCGGGGTTTGCCAACAAACATGCACCAGTGCCCCCATAGCAAGACGAGGCAGCGGGGGACCCAAGGAGGATCATGGCTGCTCTGTCCAAAACCTTTGCACAGAGCAGCATGACATGTTTGTTATTAAAAGAAAATCCTTTAATTGGGGTTTAGTAACACTTTAATGGACCTTAAATTGTACACTCCTTGAGGGTGGTTCGGCCTGTGGACCAACAGTCCTACTATTATTTCTGCTGATAAGGCTGTGCTGAGTGTAGTCAGACAATAGTGACTAAAGAAAATAGGCCACAACGTCTAATAACTATGTGCAATGTTCCCCCAATCTCTTTAACGCCTGGTCTATAACTAACTGAGCATCCACCTCATCAAGAATAACCTTTTTGATCCCTACAGAGTGGATTTAGCCTTCAACACTTCATAGAAACTGCTCTCCTAAACCTCACAAACGATTTACTGACAGCAAAAACCAATAAACACTATTCTGTACTCCTACTTCTGGACCTCATGGCTGCAATTGATACAGTTGACCACCCCTTCCTCCTGAAAAAAAATTTACTCCCTTGGTATCTGTGACTGTGCTCTTCATTGGTTTTCATCCTACCTATCCCACCTTCAGTGTCACTTACAATTCTACTTCCTCCTCTCCCCTTCCTTTTTCCATTGGGGTCCCCCAATGTTCTGTTCTTGAACCTCTCCTATTCTCAATCTACACCTCCTCCCTGGATCAACTGATAGCCTCTGATGGCTTTCAATATCATTTCTACACTGATGACACCCAAATCTACCTCTCTACCCCTCAGCTCACAACATTGGCCTCCTCACGTTTCACTAACTTATTGATGACATATCAGCCTAGATGTCACACCACTTCCTCAAACTCGATATATCCAAAGCCGAGCACCTAATATTTCCTCCTCCACGTGTCCCTTCCCCTGACTTCTCTGTTAAGATCAATGGCACAACCACAACCCATCCCCACATGCCAGGGTACCAGGTGTAATCCTGGACTCTGAACTTTCCTTTCAGCACCACATCCAATCACTTTCCAAAGCTTGCTAACTCTACCTCTGCAATATCTCCAAAACATGTCCCTTCCTAACCAATGACACCACAAAGCTCCTAATTCTCTCCCAGGTCATCTCTCACCTCGAATACTGCATCTCCCTCCTCATTGGCTTACCTTTACATAGGCTATCCCCCCTCCAGTCCATCATGAATGCTGCTGCCAGACTCATCCACCTTACCAACCATTTAGTGTCTGCTACCCCTCTCTACCAATCTCTCCCATTGGCTGCCACTAGGCCAATTAATAAAATTCAAAATACTAACAAGTTACAAAGCCATCCATAACTCGGCCCCCAGCTACATCACTAACCAAGTCTAAAAATACCAAAGTGTATTCTTCATTCTAAGACCCCCTGCTCTCTAGTTCCCTTGTCACCTCCTCCTGTGCTCACCTCCAGGACTTCTTCCAAGACGCTCCCATCCTATGGAATTCCCTACCCCAATCTGTCTGACTATCTCCTGCTCTGTCCACTTTTAGGCGATCCCTAAAAACATTTCTCTTCAGAGAAGCCTATCCTGCCCCCTACAAACAACTGTACATGTATTTTCTCCATTGGCTCATCCCCCACAGTTATTACCTTTTGTATCTCTTGACCCTCCCCTCTTAGATGGTAAGCTCTAACATGCAGCGCCCTCTGATTCCTCCTGTATTCAATTGTATTGTAACTGTACTGTTTGCCCTCACATTGTAAAGCGCTGCTCAAACTGTTGGCGCTATGTAAATCCTGTATAATTATAATAATAATACAATTGCTACACAAGCCATATTGTAGTTTATTGCTAAAAAAAGTTACCTTTCCTTTCAATTTGCAGCTGCTGTAATTTTCTGTAAAATTCAATGCAATCTGACAACCCGGAGGCATGCTTGTATGAGTGGCTCATTGATTTTCCCACAAAAGTACATTAAGATACAAATCAAATTGTGCGCATCCTTATGCAAAAAAAAAAAAATTTCCAAAGGGTTAATCACAACCAAAGGGATACAGACAGAACAACTTTCCTCATTAGAACATTGCAAGTGCATCATCTGGTTAATACTAAAAAAGTCACTCCCATTCAGATTCACCTTACACACTGACATAGCCCAACAAACAGCTTTTTCTTCAGAGCAGAAACAGGTAAAAATCTGTTCCAAAGTTTGTTAAAATGCATGCAACATACAGATCACTCAGAGGGGAGTGGGGTTTTTTTCAGAACAAAAGTGGAGTACTTTTACCTTGGTACAATTAACCTCCTCGGCGGTATAATCAAACCAAAAACACTGACATTTGAAATTCAGAGGCAAATTCGCACATCGCTGAGCAAAGTCGCAAAATCGTTTTCCGTGTCTGATGACGAATTTCCCCCACGAATCATTATCACTCAATTCTGCAAGTGGTTCTGATTTACTATCGCTGTTCTAAAACCACTTTTGACGTAAAGCGATGCTTTTTGGACGCCATGGACTTTTCTAAGTTTCCAGGCAGAAAGAACAGTCAAAATACAGGCAGGGCGCAGGACAAAGCACTCGGGACAAAATGTATGTGAAATGCATTGAAACAGCAATGACAGCAAAAATGAAATTTTTTCAAAATTTCAAATTTCCCGCCGGTTCCGGCGCCCGTACGTCCCGACGTCACAGAGACCGGAACACAGAAGCGGCCGGAGGAGATGGCCGGGGACGCTGCAGGGGACACATCGTGGGAGCGAAGGACAAGGTAAGTGCTGCAGGGACCCCCTGAGCAACGCCGCATGGTAAGCCCGAGTGTAGCTCGGGGTTAGCGCTCTTGGTATAGAAATTTTACCCCGAGCTACACTCGGGATACCGCTAAGGAGGTTAAAATAATGTTGCCCTTTAAATCAGAATTCAGTGGTGCCAGTAAAAGGGAATTATTTTGTATTTGGCCTGTGTTCAAGGTTTCAAATGACTGGGAAATAACTATACCAGGGTATACACTTTACAGGAATGACAGAGTAGGGAAGAAGGGAGGTATAGTTGCCATATATATCAAAAATAGCATAATGCTAACATTAATTCAAAAAACAAATGAAATGCTCGAAACTCTCAGGATCTGCCTTCCAACCAGAGAGGGATCTTCCCTTAGAATTGGTGTAAAACACAGACCCACGGGACTGACTGAAGATTTTGATGACTTGCTGATTGACAAGATAGTTCAAATGGCAATGAAGGGGAAGCTTTTGATTATTGGTGACTTCAACATGCCTGAAATTAACTGGAATTCTCAAACTGCTATTACAAGCAGAAGCAGGGATGTAATGGATGCACTGAATGGGGTTCCTCTAAAACAGATAGTAAAAAGTCCAACCTGAGGTGATCATATTCTAGACCTAGTACTGACAAATAAGGATCGACTGCCTGATGTTGAGGTGGGGGAAAATTTGGGTTCTAGTGATCACCAATGTCTTTGGCTTGATATTAAAACAAGAATTGAAAAATCATATACAAAAACAAGTTTTAGAGTTCAAAACAAAAAATTTTGCTGAAATGGGTAAATTTCTAATAAATGAATTGAAATGTTGGAGTAAAATGGCAGGAGTAATAAATCTGTGGTCACTGTTAAAGTCTATCATCCTGAGGCAGCTAGATTATATATCAGGCAAGTTAGTAAGAATAAACAGAAGAAAAAACAAACAAGAGGTAAGCAGGGGCGGACTGAGAACTCATGGGGCCCCCGGGCAATAGGGGATCATGGGGCCCCTGTGTTCTTGCCCAAACTCAAAAAAGCCTATGAAAAAGGTACCAAGGGCATCTCATGGGGCCCCCTACTGACCCCGGGCCCTCGGGCAGTGCCTGAGTTTCCAAATGGTCAGTCTGCCCCTGGAGGTAAGTGGGATTAAAGGATAAAAAAATCAGCATATAGGAGATTCAAGGATACAGGAGTATAAAAATAAACAAAAGGAGGGCAAACACATTATCAGTGTTGCTAAAGCACAAAAAGAGGCGGAAATTACTAAATCTATTAACCACTTCAATACAGGGCACTTTCACCCTCTTCCTGCCCAGGGCAATTTTCAGCTTTCAACGCTCTTGCACTTTGAAAGACAATTGCGCGGTTATGCAACACTGTATCCAAATGAAATTTTTATTATTGAGACAGACAGAGCTTTCTTTTGGTGGTATTTGATCACCACTGTTTTTTTTTTAGCTAAACAAACAAAAAATGACTGAACATTTTGGAAAAAACCCAAACATTTTTCTGTTATAAAATTTTGCACATAAGTAATTTTTCTTTTTCACTGATGTGCGCTAATGAGGCTGTACTGATGGGTATTGATGGGCACTCATAGGCTGCACTGATGAGCAGTGGCAGGCTCCACTGATGGGCACTGATTGGCACTGATGAGGCTGCACTGATCATCAGGGCACTGGGTCAGTGCTCTGATTTACAGTGTAAATGTTCCCTGTCAGAAATGCTGGTTACCAGCTCTCCTCTTCTCATGCTGTGACAGCACGTGAGGAAAAGACGGCCGATAACAGGGAAGTCTGTTTACAAAGTGATCAGCTGTGATTGGACACAGATGATCACATGTTAAAGGGATGCTGTGATTGGCCCTTTACTGTGATCTGTGATCAGCTGTGTTTGAAGAACACAGTAGTCACAGAGCGTGCCCGATGCGCTCCCCAGGGGTGGGGTTCTGGGAGGATGTCAATAGATGCCCTCCCAGGACAAGTTGACTGCACTGTAGCCGTCTTTTGGCTATTGCACGGTTGGCAAATGGTTGAGATAAAACCTTTTTTAGGTACATCAGTGATAGGAAAAAAAAATACAATAGGATCACTAAAAAGAAAACTGGACACAATACTTATGTTGAGGGAGACCTGGATCTAGCAAACCACTTAAACAATTACTTCTGTTCAGTCTTCTCAAAAATTTATTGTACTAACAATAACAAGTTGTGGATTCATATTGATTCTAATAATTACAGTTCATTTGTAGGATTTCTGGAGACAGAGGTAGCAGAGGAACTGGCTCGGTTAAAGCTTAATATGCAATGGGCCCTGATGGCATTCATCCCAGAAGTCTAAGAGAACTTCAAGGTTTAGTATGGGCAGCACAGTGGCTAAATGGTTAGCACTTCAGCCTGGCAGTACTAGGTTTGTAGGTTTGATTCCCAACCACAGCACCACCTGCCTGGAGTTTGCATGGTCTCCCTGTGCCTGCTTGGATTTCCTCTGGGTACTCTGGTTTCCTCCCACACTCCAAAGACATGCTGGTAGGTTAAATGGATCCTGTCTAAATTGGCCATAGTATGTGTATGTATGAATGTGAGTTAGGGACCTTAGATTGTAAGCCCCTTGAGGGTTAGGGACTGATGTGAATGTACAATATATATGTAAAGCGCTGTGTAAATGGACGGTGCTATATAAGTACCTGAAATAAATAAATAGTTGTTGTACCATTAGCAGACCTTTCTAATTAATATCTTCTAACAAGAGAAGTTCCTCATGACTGGTGGACAGCTAATATTGTACCTTTCCACAAGAAGGGCAGCAAGGTAGAGGCAAGGCAATTACAGGCCAGTGAGTTTAACATCGGATGAAGTCAAGTTAATGTAACCACCTCTGAAAAGAAGGATCATTGATCACTTAAAAACACACAATTTGCTGGACCCAAAACAGCATGGCTTTACTGAGGGCAGATCATGTCAGACTAATCTGGGTTTTTTTTTTGACTATATTACCAATGTTTTGGACCAAGGTGGTGCTGTGGACATAGCATATCTTGATTTCAGCAAAGCATTTGATACAGTTCCACATAATGATCTAATACAAAAGTGGTACAAGCTAGGACATAGCCTTTGGGTGGTTCACTGGATATGCAGCTGGCTAAAGGATAGATACCAGAGCATGGATGTAAATGGGGTTCACTCGGAAAAGAGACCAGTCACTAGTGGTGTACCCCAAGGGTCTGTACTAGGTCCTGTTCTATTTAATCTATAAGTAAGTGATACAGTTGTGGCCAAAATTATTCAACCCCCACTGAAATTGAGTGTTTTGGCCAGTTTGACATTGCTTTTGATCATTCAGTCATCTTGCTTACATTTACATTAAAGAGGCACTTGTAGGTCAGACAAATATAACATAACAGTTATAATGAAATAACCACAAATGTCTTTTCTGTGCTCACAGCATTATCAGTTTTATTCAACCCCCAAGTGACATTCAATCTTAGTACTTAGTACAGCATCCTTTTACAGTTATAACAGCTTTTAAACGTGAAGCATAGCTTGACACAAGTGTCTTGCAGCGATCTACGGGTATCTTCGCCCATTCTTCATGGGCAAAGGCCTCCAGTTCAGTCACATTCTTAGGCTTGCGCACTGCAACTGCTTTCTTTAAGTCCCACCAGAGGTTCTCAATCGGATTTAAGTCTGGTGACTGCGATGGCCACTCCAAAATGTTCCAGCCTTTCCTCTGCAACCATGCTCTAGTGGACTTGGAGGTATGCTTGGGATCATTGTCCTGTTGAAAGGTCCAACGTCTCCCAAGCCTCAGGTGTGTGACGGACTGCATCACGTTTCCATCCAATATCTCCTGGTACTGAAGAGAATTCATGGTACCTTGCACACGCTGAAGCTTCCCTGTACCTGCAGAAGCAAAACAGCCCCAAAGCATGATTGACCCTCCACCATGCTTCACAGTAGGCAAGGTGTTCTTTTCATCATAGGCCTTGTTCTTCCTCCTCCAAAAACATAGCGTTGATCCATGGGCCCAAACAGTTCTAATTTTGTTTTTCATCAGTCCACAGAACACTATCCCACAACTTTTGTGGTTTGTCCACATGGCTTTTGGCATACTGCAGTCGACTCTTCTTATTCTTTGGAGACAGCAAGGGGGTACGCCTGGGAGTTCTGGCACGGAGGCCTTCATTACGCAGTGTGCGTCTTATTGTCTGGGCTGAAACTTCTGTACCCACATCTGACAAATCTTTTCTCAGTTCCTCAGCAGTCACACGGGGACTTCTCTCCACTCTATGCTTCAGGTAGCGCACAGCAGTCGAAGTCAGCATCTTCTTTCTGCCACGACCAGGTAGCGTTTCAACAGTGCCCTTTGCCTTGAATTTGCGAATGATGCTTCCTAAGGTGTCTCTTGGTATGTTTAACATCTTTGCAATCTTCTTATAGCCATTGCCCTTCCTGTGAAGAGAAATCACTTCTTCTCTTGTCTCTCCTGGGACCATTCTCTTGCCTTCACCATGTTTGTAACCACACCAGTAAATGTCTAGAAGGAGCTGAGTATCACAGTCATTTTAAAGCTGAATTGCTGCTTATTATGCTTGATTGCTGCTCGGTGACATCCACAGGTGTTTTCAATACCTGATGGAAAGCACCTGTATGAACCTCTGTTCTTCAGAGTGTAGTAGTCTTTAAGGGGTTGAATAATTGTGGCAATGAAGAAACCACATAAGAACCATTTACTACTGTATTACATAAACAATTGATGTCATTTTAGTTGCATTTGGGTAGTTACAACGTCCTTGTAGGATTTGATTCTGAATACAATTCCAAATGTACACTATAGTCCCTAAACCCCTTTACAGCATTGGGGGTTGAATAATTTTGGCCACAACTGTATAACTAAAGGTTTGTTGGGCAAGGTATGTCTTTTTTCTGATGATAAAAAGGTGTGTAATCAGGTTGATATCCCTGGAGGAGTCTGTAACATGGAACTTGATTTGACATTGCTGGAAGATTGGTCAAAGAAGTGGAAATTGCAGTTCAATGTTTCTAAATGTAAAATAATGCACCTAGGGAAAAGGAATCCCTTGAGAGAGTACAACATTGGGGGTACAGTGTTGGCCAGCACTACAGAGGAGAAGGACTTGGGGGTACTTATTTTAGATTATTGCAAAATGGGCAAACAGTGTGGCCAGGCAGTAGTGAAAGCTAATAGAATTCCAGGTTGCATCACTAGAGGGGTCACCAGCAGGAGGAAGAAGGTCCTGATTCCTCTATATAGATCTTTATATCACTGGAGAGGTCACCAGCAGGAGGAAGGAGGTCCTGATTCCTCTATATAGATCTTTATATCACTGGAGAGGTCACAAGCAGGAGGAAGGAGGTCCTGATTCCCCTATATAGATCTTTATATCACTAAAGGGATCACCAGCAGGAGGAAGGAGGTCCCGATTCCTCTATATAGATCTTTAGTTAGACCTCATTTAGAATATTGTGTCCAGTCCTGGAGACCTCACTTATAAAAAGATATTGATAAGATAGAATGAGTCCAGAGACGGGGAACAAATCAAGTGACCAAGGGAGGAGGTGTAGATTGAGAAGAGAAAGGGTCCAAGGACAGAACCTTGACGGACCCCTACAGAAAGAGGGAGTGAAGAGGAGGAGGCAGCATTATAGGTAACACTGAAGGAGCGCTGCGATAGGTAGGAGGAGAACCAGGAGAGAGCAGACTCTCTGAGACCAAGAGAGTGGAGTTTTTTGAGGAGGAGGGGATGGTCAACAGTATCAAAAGCCTCAGAGAGGTCAAGTAGTAAGAGTACGGAGTAGTGATAATTGGTTTTAGCTGTTAGTAGATCATTAGTGAGTTTTAATAGGGCAGTTTCAGTGGAGTGTAGTGAGCGAAAGCCAGACTGTAAAGGGTCAAGAAGGTTGTTGTCGGTGAGGTGGGAGCTCAGGCGATTGTAGACTAAGCGTTCTAGGAGTTTAGAGGTAAATGGCAACAGGGAGATGGGTCTTAAATTGTTCAGGTTTGTGGGGTCCAGGGAGGGCTTTTTAACTATGGGAGTGATGTGCGCATGCTTTAGAGGGGAGGGGAAGGCACCAGTAGAGAGAGAAAGATTGAATATGTGAGTGAGGGAGCATAGGATGGAAGAAGAGGGTGACTGTAGTAGTTGTGAGGGGACAGGATCCAGGGGGCAGGTAGTGAGCCAGCTTCTGAGAAAACCTTAGTGACCTCTTCGGTAGTAGCAAAGTCAAAAGAGGAAAGTGTTGAGGGAGGTTTAGTATAAGGTATGCTAAGTGGGATTGATGTCTGTGCAGTGGCGATGCCCCTACGAATTGCATCAATCTTGTTTTTGAAATGATTTGCAATCTCGTTCAGTGAGTGATGTACTGGGTGGAGGTGGAGAAAGTAGAGAGTTAAAAGTGGAGAAGAGACGATGAGGACTGGATGACAAGGTATTAATAACAGTGACAAAGTAGGCTTGTTTGGCAGCATGGAGGGAGGAATTGTATGTTAAGAAAGCAGATTTATATAGGGTGAATGCTTGCTGGGATTTGGTTACACCACAATCGCTCCAGCTCATGACTATGCTGTTTAAGATTTCTGGTGTCGTCAGTTTGCCAAGGTTGTAACAGTCGGGGCCTGATGCTTCGTGTTGTTAGAGGAGCAAGTGAGT